CCCTATCGTGACTGTTTATCCATTGAATCCATTGATCACCGCCTAGTCCAGCCTGCCTAGACTGGACTTGCCTGTTTGGGACCCACTTAGTTGGGTCTTGTTACTTACCTTGGCTCACTTGGCAGTAGGTGATGGAGTTATTGTGATGGGGTGACATGGGGATATGGGGATATGGGGATATGGAGATATGGAGATATGGGGGATATGGGGATATGGGGATATGGGGGTTATGGGGTTGAGGTTGGGGGTATAGTGTCGGTTGGTGTACCCTTATCTACTGTACTATGTAGTGTAGGTGGCCGGGTTGTTTATGGTGGTGAGACTGTTGTTGGTGAGGCTGGAATTCAACTTCGTGCTTCCGTTTTAGTCTCGCCGTTCAGTTGCCAGGGTCAAACTAGAAGAGGGCTAGGACAAGGTATTGTTGACTTGCTTACTGTGCGTACACTACATATTGTCAACACTCGACTACAGATACCGATATCACAATACGAGAAGAAGGTGATGGATCGTTGGTTCAGGTCGTGGCGCTGGTTTGGGGATGCTGTACTTTACCTCACGCTCTTTGTCCTGACTAGGTGTTCCTGATTTCAATTTAGAAAGGGATATCTCATGCACTACAACAACAGCGTTTTCAAGTATCAGTCAGGTATCTCCTCGAGCAGTATAACAAGATCGGTAGAAGTACTTGACAATACTATTAATATCTCCCCTCCTGTATTGACTTAAAGCCTTTTCTCTCAACATCTGGAGGCCGCGGGTGATACTGAGAAAGTTCTTCGAGACGGCGCTGCTGCCTGTCCTGCCTGTCCTGCCTGAGCTAGCCTTATTCAACCTCGTTTGGCTTTGCCCTACCTTACCAGTGGGAAAGAGAAGCTGCTAACGCGAGATGAGAGAATTCGACTGTAGAGGCAACCTGCCTGACTTTACTTACCCTCTTCCTCGGCCTACCTCGAGTTTGGAAAGGAGGGTATGTGCCACTGAGCTGTGATTCTTTGGCGAAGTGGCAGAAGACCCGGAAAGTGTCTGTACTCTGTCTGGTGAACGTCAAACACTTTGAAGCCGGGTGTGAAGGGAGTTCCGATGTGGGATAATGCTATGGGAGAAAATATGAAGGTGATAGTTGCGAAGAAGCTTGCTCCTAACCTTTACGAGGTCTTCTTATGTACTGGGAGGTCCAAGTCCAGTGGTACTTCTATTTGATTTGATCCGGTCCGACCTAGCTGGGAGTCTTGTTGTGTGGATAGAGGTAGAGTTACGATTGGGCGAGTGTGTGTCTCATGCTGACTGAAATATAAGGCGATGGAGTCCAAGAAGCTGTTTGTACAACATACTTGATTCATGAGAGAGCTCGTTGTGGGTGGGAACAGTAACTGTGAGTGTGTATTGAAGATAAGTTACACTGCAAGACGTGTAGGCATTTTAAAGAGGAAAGAGGAAAGAGAAATCCATCGGAGATAGAAAGGGATCCGATGCGGTGTGACAGGCATGCTAAACAAATATGTTAACCAGGCTATATCAGGCAAATCTGGGGCTCTTTTAGGACTTTTTCGTAAAGCTCTTTAGGGATCCGGTCTACCGCTTCTTCCTGGGTGACTAACTCAAATATCGAGTCCAGCTCGCCGTTTCATAATTGAGTTCGTCGGAATCGTCCACTTCGATAATTTCATGCAGATCGGCAAAAGTCAGCTCCCTTGGGCCGAACAGCTTGCCCGATTCTATCAAATTCTTCATCGATGTACCGGATTCCAGATCGTCGAATCTCAATACCGTCTCTCTTTGCGACTTAAACATGCCGAATCGACGAAAGAGTGGTCGCCCATCATGAGTCCCAACGGGCTCCAGGAGAAGACCATAGACATGACCATCCCTTCTCATCGCTCCATGATAACAATCGTGATACAGCGGGAGCAATTTGAGTTTCTTCTTTTTTTGCTCCCCGTCAATTGGCTTATCCAGGTGAATTTGGGAGGTGGATCTTATCCACCCGCTCGACTCCTCGAGGGGAAGCTCTTCCGTCCATGAGACAAGAGGCTGCCTGAATCCATCGGCGAGGATCTTGTCAGCGTTGATCAAAGGTATAAGTACCCCGCGGAGAAAGATCACGGCTGGCCCCAATGAATCGGTGGCATTATCGTCTGTCCCATGTATCAACTCAAGCTTGGCTAGCCTTCGTGTTTCCCGCCGTTCGAGGATGTCGGGGAAAGACACTCTGTTGCCACACGCGGCCCATGACCAGGACGGAAAATGCTCAGCCAGACCATGATCCAGCTCACGCTCAAGAGGAGCGTAGCGATTTGACATCCTCCAACATAGTTGCTGTTCAAAGTAAATCCCAATCCTCCAGAGGCCTGATACATATTGACTGGCTCCGTCTGCGTCTCCTAGTGGACCTTGCAGTCGGTTGACGATACCTCGGAGCGCAACCGACTTGTCGCTCGGCTTGGTCAGTGACATGGCTGAGAATGCGTTAACAACGTCGTTCCAAGTATTAACGACAGTCTTCTAATAGTCAAGCCTCGGTTGCCGATGATGGCGCAGATGTCTGGAATGGATCGGGGGTGGGGGACGGGGGTTTTCTACGGAGCTGAAAGCCCGAAAAAGATCGGCGTCAGAGACAACGCGTTTCAAGCCTTGAACAGGGTTTCTCCACGTCGAATCTAGCATTTTTCGATCCTGGATGTGAAGCGAAGGGAATGCTTCCGAAGCTTTGGATGTCATACATTCCCAGTAGAGCTGCTTGCCGCAATGTAACGTCCTTGTTGACAAGGCTCGTTCTTGTAATGTCCACCCTCTTTTGTACAGAGGGGCATGGGGAACAGACGGCTCGAAATTACAACTGCCCTCCATCTTAAGCATCCAGTGACTGATCTCGCCAGTTGCGTCGCCTTTGGTAGAAACCCGGGTCACGACACATGGCATGATGCTCAAAGGGTTCCAGGGGCACTCAAGACCGGGAGAATCATCACCCTAGATGACTGCAAGATTGAGAAACCCATTCGTATACACCATGTCCATCATCTGGGATTGCTCATACCAATCCTTGTGATCATCTTGTATAATACACAAGGCATCTATCCAAATGTATCGCACACCAAGACGGCGTCCTATCGATGCAGCATCCTTGTAAACTTGTGGTCACCGGTTAACAGGGATTGCGTCGTAATGGATATGTTTGTTAGATTGAGTCGTCTGAGAATGTTCAATCTCTGTCGTCCAACGATAGCTGAGATTGATATATGCCGGCTTGTCGTCCTCTGTCAACTGACGGTCAACCAGTCTGACCGGATGAGTTGCATCTCCCAAGTCGATGAACCGTACGGGCGGTCGTCCCGACTGCGGCTCTGGCCCGGACCGAGTGTTACACATCGTGTGCGTTTGCTGACATTAGTGCAACCACTGTCTGACTTGGTCGAAAGGCTGCTCGCCGAGGTTGGTTTGCGACTGATTTTGAACCAGCACTTTCTCGGGGAAGTGTGTGCTCTGGTAAGAGCCATCCTGACCCAGAGCAGTAACGTTAGAGACGCCTATGCTGAAGCTTTGAAAGTGGATGTTCATTCCCAACTTGAAATCAATCTGGAACCACGCATAACGTCCTGGTATGCAATGGGGCAACAAGAAATAACGTTCTTGTGTCTTCCAAAGGTCCCCAATGCCCCTATGACGAAGTAGGTCCCCCATCTGATCAATACTGTCTGATACTATGGTACAGAAGCGACAACCAGCCTTCACAGCTTCAAGGAGACATTTCAAGGTGAAAGGTTCTATAAGCCTTTCTTCTTCTGGTTTGTCGTCGAAGCCCTTTTTGAGCCATTGCCATTCTCTATCCCTTGGGAAAATATTGTTGACGCAGGTTTCGCAGAGCTGATTTAGCCCCAGCTTAGGAGGCTGTTGATCATCCATGCTTTGTTTGTTGGACGATGTCCCGAGCCAAAGGCTCGCAAGCTGGTCACGGAGCTGATTGAGCCCCAGTTGGGGATGCTGTTCATCTTCCATAGCTTGGTTTGCGAGTCGCGTCTTCTGAGAGTAGCCGTTTCTCAACCATAAGGCAGACTGAATGACGTTGGTCAGCTTGGCCGGAGTAGATAGATAATTGGTGGATCAACCTACCAAGATGTTGTAGCGGTTGTCGAGTTCAAACTCGCATAAAAAGGAGCACGCGACGGATCGCAACCCTCTAAGCCTTCAAAGTGGCGTAATGGGATAACGGAGGCGGATGATGAACCTGGTGTCGATGAGGTGTTCGAGGTAGAAGTCTAAGTGAACTCAGCCAGATAGATCAGAAGATGAAAGGCCATAAGCTTGTCAAAGCTCCGACAGTGATGAGGTTACATAGACCGACTAGTAGGCGGCAGTGTGCACAGTATAGAGTTGTAACGGAACAGAGATCACGAACCCAATGAGCCCAACCCGTTTGTCAACCACCAGCGTGGCTTATCCATAGAGTAAACCTCCCGAGACGTACCAAAAACTTTGAGGTACGCGCCAATCCAACTCAGGTATACAATTGCTCGGTCCAAAGTTTTATTTCGAAAAGGAAAAATTACTAGGTTTGCTTTCTAGGCCTCAAAGATAATTCATCTGGCTTTCATTCTATAATCTATACTCATTTGGGAAAGATAGTATGGATATTAGTGTTAACGCCGCCGTATCTCCTTACACTTTTTCTCAAGAAAACTATTTCCCTTTTAAAAAGAGTTAATATAGGGTAATCTCAACAAGCCTCATTTACTAATGATACTTTTTTTAGGTTCAAACTTCTTATACAGCGTATGGTATAGATGTTTGGTTAGAAATTTGGTGCGTCTCGGGAAGTTTACTCTATCCATATGCATGCTGTGGCTTGTGGGTCCAGAGCGACTTCTTTCATCCATCGTGACCGAGATTACCACTGCAAAGCACCCGCAGAAACAAGTGAAAACGGAAAGAACCATCGATTATACCAACATCAGGTAAATTGGTATTCAGTCCCTCCTTCCCAAGAATGATATAGCAACCCCTAATTACCCAGAAAATGACCCAAAAGGAGAGGGTTTCGTAGCCCTAAACGCCGGTCCCAGGGCTGCACTCTGCGGCGTCATGGGCAAAGGCGGGAGTGATTGCATCTCCATCTGCATTTGCTGCAACCTCCTCGCCGCCGGCGTTCCCGCTCGAACAGCGCTTATGTCTCTCGTTCTGGGACTGATGCTCCTTTCTCTTGCCCTTTCGCGTTCTCTCATCCTCACCATGATCTTGTTCTGCCCTTGCGACATAACGACAGCCGGCGTGGCGGGTTGAGATTGCTGCTTCCTCTCTTGCTGCTGCATTTGTTGCTGTAGTTGCACCTGTATCTGTTTCCTGACGACGACACTCAACTCGGCTGCGTCCTTGAGTCCTCGCGATATTTTCCCGAGTTGCTTGAGTGTTTCCGGCGGTAGTGAGAGTTGCGGGTTAAGCTCCGTTGTGTCTGGTCTTGCCCCTTCTGCTACCGAGTCTTTTGACTTCACTAATACTCTCTTCAACAGATCTCCAAATTCCGCCCAAGTGGTGTACAAACCCTCGCATATATCCCAAAATGAACCCGATGCGGACCCGTGACCCGAACCATTTTGCGGCTGAGTTGCCCGCGTAGCAGGTGGAGGAGAGAACAACGCCGGATCGCCAACTCTCAGCGTGGACAGCCTCTCCCGCAAAGCTTCCGTTTGTTTCTGCACTTTGACGCCACTGGTCAACAGAATGGTCCATGCTTTTGCCGCTTCCCACATCGCTGGACTGGAATGGACCTGATGATGGTAGTGCGCAAACAAGGAGTTCAGGGGTGGGAGCGTGTGAAGAATCTGAGAGGTTGCCGACTTCAGCGTCAAGAAGAGCACATCGAACGGCGCATCCCTCGGATCTGGTACGGCATTGTTGGATATGTGTGAAGGAGTGGGTGAAGAGAAGGATGGAGGAGGGAACGAGGTAGCAGTGAGAGGTGGCTCTGGAGTTGTTGGCATCGGTGGTACATCCGGTGTTGCTACCAGTGTGGAGGCCGTTGTCAGGCCGGTGCTCTTTGCGGAGGTGGCAGCCGGAGCCGAATCCGTTGCTGCCACCGCCATTGTCCGTGTTGGGGCTCCCCCTGGCCCAGGATAAGGTAAGTCCGTCCTAACTTGCATATTGACACCTCCTCGAGCAGACTCAAGGCCACCCGGGGGTTTGCGGCCTTTGAAATACGATAACGGGGAACGATTCCTTATGGAAGCTCTTCTCGATGGTGTTGGAGTCGTGGATCCTTGTGTCCGCCGTCGTGGTTTGACCGTCGCCGCGGCGTCCAAGCCATGCACCGGAGGAGGTCGCACCTTTGAGGTCGTGGACAGCCATTCGCTCATGGTTGCACGGAGTTCCATAACGCTGTGGTAAACAAGCATGAGGAAAGTTCTGATATACCTCTCATCCCCATTATCCACAAAAAGGTCGACATGACCGGCGAGTTCACTACAAATCTTGATGTAGGCGCTGATGAGTCTTGATAGAGCCTGCTGCAGAGGCCTGTAGTTTTGATGCTCATCGCCGTGTGTGCCATTCGGGAGATGGAAAGCATGGATAGCTTGCTCCAGCTCATGGAAGTGGAAACTGGCTCTTTCGAAGACGGCTTCCAAGCTGGATCCGGTCCCATGATTGACGACAAAACTCGACATACTTTGGACAGCTGAATGAACTTGGGAGATCGAGTAGAGAAGGCCGCGAGCAACCTCAAGAAGCGGCTCACGGTTTTGAGAAGCATGCTGCCGCACCGGAAGGACTGATGGTTCCCAGATGTTGGAGGACCTACCCAACGTCGCGCTTTCTGGTCTGAAAGGGTTGGTGAACACCGGATTATTTCCGACTCGACTTGTTCCACGAGATTGACCTCTGACTGACTCCCTAGAGCCCGCACGAATTGTGCCCTCAGCAGAAATATCTGCCCCGGGCCTTCCTTCCTCCGCCGAAGACATAGCTCGCGCCAGCCGAGTCCGGGTCACCGGTGCCCCATTTGGCTTCACACCCTCAGATGTTCTTGGAGGCACCGAACTGCTTCTCAGATTCGCACCCTTTGATCTTTGTAAGGCGAATGGTATCAACCCCGGCTTTTTGTTGAACAAGGAAGGGCTTTGGGATACACCACGGAAGTGCGATCTCTGGGGAATTGGCGGCGGGTTCGAGTCCGCGGGGGAAACGACGGTAACCGTCAACGCTGTTGTCGATGAAGAGCTAACACTGGACCCGTTAACACGGATAGGAAACCGTCCGTTGCCTGTGCCTCGTCTTTCCCTTGGCCTGTGTGCCTTTGGATCTTCGACCAAGTAAACATCGCCATCGCTATTGCTCGTCTCTCCGAGCCCATGTCGTCGATTTGAGGTAGACACCAAAGATTGCTGAGAGTCCGGAGAAAGGCCTACCGTCCTTTCAGGCGCGATCACGACCGAGTCTGCCATCGTTTCATCGTATTTTGCTGTTCGCCGGTTACTCATGCAATGACGAACCGCTGACTGAATCCAAATCCTTCCAGAAGTGGTGATGGAAAAGATCCGCTAACGAAAACCACGGCAATCGTTCCATGCTTAAATCCCTCCCATCCAGGGCCCAAGCTCCCTCGATCCGACCTCACGACAGACAGCCCAGCCAGCGGGAAATTAAACCGTTATACACAGTACCTTTCCATCCATCCCTTCTGTCTTTTCTTCTTGCCCGTTTCCAAAAGAGGCTGCTGGTTTTAAATTGCGGCACACAACAATTGTTGGTACGCGCCAATGAAACACTTGGTTCCATCCTGTCACCCCTCCATCTCGTGGGATGGAACCGAGCCGTGTCGTCAGCTTCGGTGCACGCTGTGTGGTAAGCCCCCTATAGGGCGGCAGCGGCAGCGTCACGGCAGCGGCTTGACAAGCTGACAGTGGCATATTTGCGATATCATCAGATATAGTGTCTAGGGTGACACAGTGACATTGCTTCTTCCCTTTCGATCTTGCGTTTTCTTCTTGTGCCGTGGTTTACGAGGAAGCTGGTAAGCTAGATACCAAACGACCCAGCCGATATGCTGGTCAGACTCGCATTGCATGCAGCGATCGCAAAAGAAAGACATGTAACGAAGGGCTTGATTGTGCATATCCTGAAATTGATCATCTCAGCTGTTGGGTATATACGGGCTGGGTGGTGCAAACAAAAATGCTTAGCGTGGATGGAAGCATGATCTAGATAATGTGATAGATATCCAAGAAAGCGCACTCTCCCGTTTGGACCGTCTTCCATCCAATCCGGCAAGGAATAGTATCGAAAATAATAAAACGTACTTTCAGTTCAGCAATCTGTGTGGTTCCATGCGTCGTATTAGACACTCCGCGAAACCTCTCTCCTTTAGAGATCCTTCACAGTATAATCCTCATTCTTCCCATCCTGAACAAGAACCCACCCCTTCTCCTTCCCAGTCCCAGTCTGCTGCTGGTTCTCGCCCTCATCCTCACCGTCACTCTCGTCACCACTATCCTCATCCGGCTTCCCATGCTCCGGCTTCTCATGCTTCGGAGGTCCATGGTGAGGACCACGATGACCCTCCCACTCACCCGGTAGTCTGATCGCCTCCCACTCCTCCTTCGTGACCTTCTTCCACTCATCGACGGGAATCCAGCCGATATAAGCCCGATCGCCAAACCCGCCGATCCAGTACACCTGCGTCACCACCAGTCGGACAAAATGCGACTCGTGGATGCGGTTGCCGGGCAACCACCACTTGGCGTCCGGGTGGGACTTGGTGAAGCAAGAGGCGATTTGTGAACCCACGGATCCTTCCTGGGTGCGGTCGTCGCCGCCTTCGATCTTCTCGACGTAGCCTAGCAGGGAGAAGCGGGGGAGGGCGGCGGGCGAGAAAGGGCGGGGTGGAGGGGGAGGGGGGTGGTGAGGACGCTTTTTGTGCTTTTTGTCCTTGTGTTTCTTGTCCTTTTTGTGGTGCTTTTTATCTTTGTGATCCTTGTGTTTCCTATGTTCGTGATCACTGTGTTCGTGGTCCTCGTCGTCATCGCCATGGTGAGGAGGCTTCTTATGCCCTGGCGGACCACCGTGAGGAGGCCAGCGATGATGCGGTGGAGGTGGTGGAGGAGGAGGAGTCCACTGCACTGCCAAAGAGACGTTACTTCCGGCAGCAATGTTCTTGAAGGAAGTCTCGATGCTGATGGCCAGCAGCGTCGGGTTGCCCACGTCGTTGGTCGCGTACTCGCAGTCGGAAATGTACTCCATCAGGCCGTGCGGCATGCCGGCCACCTCGGCGGGGCGGTTCTCCCGCATCTTGGGGTTGTTCTTTTCTTCGTCGGTCATCATGATCGAAGAAGAAGAGGAGTTGGAGTTGGATGCTGGGAAGATGGTGGCGAGGGTGCCGAGGGGAGTGAGCGCGAGGATGCGCCGCGCCATGACGGCCGACTCGTACGAGGTTGGGATCCGGGGCTTGGTGACCGGAGGTTGTTGAGGCTGCTTCTCATACTCGTTTCCCGGCACGGCGACGGCGGCCGCGGCGGCGGTGAGGAGCGCGCTCAGAGCGATGGGCTTCATGATGGGCTGCCTGCCGGACGGGGGGCGCCGATGATTTTCGCGATATAAGTCCGGGACTTATATGGGAGCAGTAATTGTGAAGCACTGATACTCGTGGAGACGTAGGTCAAAAAGGAGAGAATGAGTGTAAGGTTTCACTGTTGAGGTGTAGTCCAGTCTCAAATATCAAGTGGAGGGAAGGAAGGTCGACGAGATAAAAACGACCGGGGCAGCTCCGATGCTTCGCTTCGTTATGGTGTCCAGTGAGTGGCACCTACAGGATCTCTCACGGGCTACCGGTCGGTGCCGGGGCGCTCTGCGACAGTGCAGATTGACCCCGGATTGGTGGGCGACCTCGTGGGGCCGTTAGCGGGCCGCGTCTTCATTCCCCGCTTGTTCAGTGCCTCTGTGACGTGACTGGCCTGGCGTGCCTGGGCATTGCGGCCGGTGTAAGTGGGAGTCGTCAGCACTTCATGGCCCTGTCAATGTCGCTGTGAAAGAGCTGGTTGCGTTGTTGCTGCCCGTGTTCCTGTTGCCGTAGAGATCGACAAAACATGGCTGGCGATAATCCTGTTGTCAGAATTTGCTATTATCTTTCCGGTGGATGTTGGTCTGGCAGGATGTTTGAACATGGCATTAGGTATTGCACTGTAAATCCTACCTATATTCGACGGTGATATCCGCGGTCGCACCACTTGTTGACTGTTATCGTTAAACGTTCAGCTGATGCCATGTGCTCCCACAATTCCGAGATGAAAGTGAAGGAGAGTTCGAACGGTGCCAAGAACTGCCAGGGGCCACAGAATCGATTGAGACCCACACCTCCTTCGAGAAGACGCTCAATCATGTGCAGGATCACCTGACATGGCGATAAATAGCCCGGCAACTGCCAAGACGCCAAGCATTTGCCGCCACAGCAGAGGCCTTCGCCACCTCACGTGAGCCACGAAAAATCGCTGTGCCGGGAGGAGGCGAGCGCACGGTTTGAGCCCCAATGACGAGCCCCGCAGCTCCCACAATTAATCGCTAAATCCAGTCCGCCCAGGTCAGTATTCCTGCCAGTCTCGATTTTTGCTCCCTTTTGACGGCAAGAGGCCTTACCACTTCGACAACCACAGTAGTCTTCTCGCGCCCACCGCAATAACCGAAAATGGGAAAGGTTCACGGAAGGTATGTTTGACCAACAGCCAGGCTTCATGCCGGTTTTCCTGTTGATTGCGGCGATCATGAATAAATGAAAGAATCAGCGATGCTAACGATGATTGTTGAACAGTTTGGCCCGTGCCGGTATGTTGCTCTTCCAGCCCTGATATTTGCGTTGTCCCATCATCGCCATCATTACCACCACCATCATAACCCCACCGATCTTCATCAATATCGAAAGACGGCAAAGACACCAAGAAGATCGCGATGATGGATCCCGAACGAACCATCCCTGCTCCAAGCACCGAAAACGAACACCGATCTGGCAACCGATGAGAACACCAATCTGACGAATTTCGCAATACAGGCAAGGTCAAGTCTCAGACCCCTAAGGTCGAGAAGCAGGAGAAGAAGAAGACTCCTAAGGGCCGCGCCAAGAAGAGACTCACTTACACTCGCCGTTTCGTCAACGTCACCATGACCGGCGGCAAGCGCAAGGTCAGTTCTAGCCACTGTCCAGCTGGACAGATCTTCGAGATCTCGAGAGCGGACAACACACCACAAAGTTGCGCGAACACGAAACTGATTATGACAAAACAGATGAACCCCAACCCCGGCTCTTAAATTACCCTCCCACGCAACGCAATGAAGCTTCCGTCGCGATGACAACCTTCTTCTCTCCGGCGATACAAAGTTAGCGAGCTTTTGAAAAGAATGCCATCAAACAACCAACCCTTTCCTTCCCCGCGTCACCACGATGAATGCGAATTTTTGACGATGACGAACAACAACAAAACAACGCCGGAACGGACGTTTTGGGTGGGGGTTCCTGGAAACAGGGCGATCCCAAGGGGAAAAGGGCTCAAAAGCAAGCAACTTTGTTAGGGCGTCTGTGATTGGGATGGGATGCTGTGTTGTTTTTGGGTGTGGTATTGGACTTGTTGAGTCTGGGCATACCAGCTACGGGCGAAACAGTCTCCTTAAGGCCAACAAGCCTGGGAAAGCGTAAAACAGAAATGCGATTTTCCAGGTAAACGTACATGTTCCGGTTCTCTGTGAAATGTTTTGGGTCACTCTATGATTATTTTGATTTCGGACAAGGCGGACAAAGCATGACAAGCAGGGCATGGTTGCTTTCGGGCTTATTGGGTGCTGTTCGTTTTATCATCTCTGTAACATACGCGTGTATCTCTAGCAACGACAGCTTGCCTCTCGAGATGCAAAGAAGAGGAGGAGACAGCAAGGTTCTCATTTTCACTTAAAATATGGTCTCCGTCGTCTTTTTCTGGATCTACTAGCTACCCCCGACGACCATGACGTAGCTTTTCGAACTCGGAACATACAAATTTACCAGCGTATCCATCAAGATGTGAACACCTCATGGGTGTTCCGAGCAAAAGATATGGCTATTCAACAAGGCCACTGGTTTCGTGGCAAACCACACCATCTCCTCTGTTCCTGTGTTATGTATAAGCTCTTCAACGAGGTTCTTCTCGTCAACGTTGCTGATGACAACAACAACAACAACAACAACAACAACAACAACAACAACAACAACAACAACAGCCAGAAGATACTTATTCAGTGGCTTCGTTGACTGATCTTTACGAGGAGAGCGACATCAAGCTCTTTCAAACCAGGCTGTAGAAAATGTAAAATAAAAACTCCTAGACATCTCAACTCATCAAGCCGTAAAACCTCTCAATGCATCGCTATACTGAAACGCGGTGCCCGATGATTATACACGGCACATGAAAGACTGATGATCAAAATCCAACGCTGTCTGTCAGTCGACGCTGAATCTTTTTCTCTCCCTTCACTCTATCCGTCTTTCCCATCCATCCCAAGTTTTTGATGTTATGTTGACTGCAACTGCAACTTTTTCCAATGCTGATACTACCTCTACACATGTATACATCAAACCCGCTTTCCATCCCGAGCCATGCCTCCCCCCAATTCTTCCCGTGAGCATGACCTACCGTAGCATACCATACCGCCCAATCTTCACTTCACTCATCCTTCACTTCACCCACCCTTTACTTCACCCATTCACCCACCCCTTAATCACTCACCAACAATTGCCCCCATCATCGCCCCGCCCCAAAACCCTAGCCCTCTAAGCACCAGGCGTCCCACTCCTTCCCCTCCTCTCCCTCTCAAAAGTATCAATATACTCACTATGCGAGTCCTTGACAGCAGGGATGATGAGGCTCTCGATCTCGATCTCCGGTTCCCCCTCGGGCAAGGACTTGGGGTCTAGGGGTTCGTCCTTTTCTATTTGTGTATCTTTTGATGTTGACGGGTCGGTTGAAGTAGAAGAACCGACGCGGCGGTGCATGGGGACGCGGATCCACTTGTCTTTACGGTTGGGCGCTACGAAGACGACTTCCCATTTGCGGGTTGAGCTGTTTCTCTGTTAGTACGGGTGGTTTGAAGGGGTGGGAGGAGTATAAAGGGAGAGGGAAACGGGGGAACGGGAAAAGGGAAAATGGGAAAAGGGAAATAGAAGACAAAAACATACAGCAAATTCCCAATAACCAAATGATGCTGATACCGATCAAGCGAGTACTTAGCCTTCAGAGTCAAGATGCTTGGGTCCGTCTCCAACTTGAACGAAACGATCATTCCCTCCGGCGACCATCCCTCCACCAAGTTCTTCAAGAACTTGGGCACAGGGTCCAAGTCGACCACCAACCGCTTACTCCTAGGCACGCTGGGGGAAGAATCAAAGTTGTCAAAGGTCTCTTCATCCACCACTCCTGATCCAGATCCATTGCCAGAGCCAGGGGCGGGTGTAGCCCTCGTGCTGGCACTGGGAGTGGCAGCATTTGAAGTCGCGGTTGAAGCAGACTTCTTGTATTCCGCGACAGCATCCGTGCTCTGGATCTTATGCTCGCTCATGCGATCAGGCGGCACGAAGAAATCGCTAACGGCAGCGGCCAGGTAAAGCAGCGCCTTGGGACCAAGCGGCTTCATAAGCTGGGCGATGCTCCTCAGCTCATGCAGGTAGTCCGAGATGCTGACGAACGGGATGGCCAGCAGCATGTTGTTGTCGCGAGCACTGTGGTACTTGCGCAGCACCTGGAGCATCTTGCTGGCGTCCTTGTCGCGGGCCACGACGGAGCGGCCGTCAGGCCCTTCCTTCAGGAAATCGAGGAAGCAATCGGTCGCATGGCTGTAGTGGCGCGAGAAGGGCAGCAGGGAGAATTGTCGGTGCAGGAAGAGGACGGCGTAGCCGGCTTCGAGGAAATATTCGGCCGAGGTGGCGCCGCGCGTGCCCGCCGAGAAGTTGTCGATGAAGCGGACGGTTTGCTTCTCGAGGGGGACGGTGGTGCCGCCGCTGGTTATCAACACTAGCCTGCGGCCAGACTTGGCGTGGTAGTCGATGAAGTCCTTGGCGAGCTTCACGTGCTTCTCAAGGTCCTTGGGCGGCGGGTTGGCGGAGAAGTAGTGGTCTTCGGCCAGAGCGGCCAGGTTGGGTGGTGGGATCTCGCCGGGGATGTGGGACATCATTTTGTCGGTGTTGTCGTTTGAAGTTTCTGGTTGCACTGGTTGTGGAAAGATAAACCCAGTGTCCGTATCCGCTGGTGTTGACGGTGGTGTCGGCGGTTTTTTTTTGTTGACTTCGACGCTCTTCTAGTTGGTTTGCGTGGGAGCTTGAGCGATGTTAAAGATGAGTTCTAATCCTCGAGAAGAACGGCGTGAGAGTCTCCGTTTAGGACGGAGTGAGACTGAGAATGATGGACGGCGAGGTCTTGTCTGTTGCGACATGTTAGCTGGCTGGCTTGATTTCTTCAGAAGCCTTTGAGGTGAAGTAAAGTGTAGCTCAAGAGACCAGTGAAATAGGAGGAGAAACTGATTCAGTCCGAAGTTTCATCAATCGCACTTTTATGTCAAGACCCTTCTCGATGCAAAAACAGAACCTCGACGTTGACGCCCCTTTGCTTCCTCTTCATGACTCTATTGCGAGACAGGTCTGAGAATACTCCACGGCGTGATGACCTCAACCGTAACCGGCACCGTACCCCGAATTCACCCGGACCGGGAGTGCCGGTCACTCTCACTGATGATGATCCGTGAGGACCCTGAAGGAAGGGGAAGGAGAGGAAAAGCCACTTGACTTGACCCAGCTGTAACTCATAACAGCTCTGAAGTCTTGCATAGGGGTATATAGAGTTCTGTCTATAAAAACTTCATCGATGTGTAACTGGAAGACGGATGTTGATAAATTCACTGACTGACCTTGGTATTTGATAGTAAAGATGAGAAGTACTGATCTTAATCCTCTTCGTAAACCCTTCAGCAGACTGGTTTATATACCCGTCCCCTCAGTTGACTTCTCAAGCCCCAGAGATTTGTGATTATTGATCGTCTTGCTTTGCCTCTCCAGCTCCGAGCTTGAAGGAATCAGGCGAGGTTATACACGGTGAGGCAGAGAGAGGCACGGCTAAGTTGACTGATTGATTGATTGTGTTTACCGTTCAGCTTCTTATTCCGTTCTAGCGAGTCGAGTCGAGTCGTTATAAGGAGTTCCAATCTGGGAGTGTTGCGTCACCTCACTGTTTTTTGGGTGGGTTGGTTGCCGGTGAACTTTGTAGTGTGATGTCTCGTTGTGGGTGGTGTGAGGTGTGAGTCCTCAATCGACGTTGTTCGGATACGTCCACGGCCCACGCGCTCGGCGGGGCACTTTCCATTCATGGGGGGTCTTGGCGGGATATTGCGGGGAAGCTCCAGCCCGGGCCTAGGTTCTTAAGACTTCTCCAACTGCCGGCGGTCCCCTGTAGCGGATTTTAACGGAGTATCTCAGGCGCAACCACCACCGGTGACCGGACCACTACGGATGAACGGGAGAGAATTCGACCATTCTGGCCATTCTGTCTCGGGATCGACCTCGGGTCTCATGCGGTGACAATGGGCCATTTCTGTCTATTTTATCTGATGTTTGTCTATGTAGTGTGTTTGGATTTTCAGTGGGCTCGGGGAAAACACTCCTAAGGACTGATAGCCCAAGGAACGGAAAGATATCATTTGATGGAAAACATCAACTGACATATCATCACGATCATCGAGTCAGCGCAACGGATGACTTGAACTAATGATAACCTGCCTGCCTATCCTAACAAGAAGAAGCGTTCCTGGGTATTCTCTCTCCAGGGCACTCATTGATCTAATAACACTTCTCTCTAAACCTCTACCTAGTAATAATGATGATGAGTTGAGATAAAACTGTACTACTTAGTACACGTGAAGAATGAAAAGAGACGATAGACAGCGGGCCAACTACCCTGCAAACCATCTTACAACACCACAACAAGCAGAACAAAACAAAAAACACAAACAAGACAGAAGGGACCCCCTTTTAGTACAGTGTCTGAACGCCATTCCGTCTAATATGCATTTTTGCCGTCATTACTTTTCTCGATCGAAACAACATGAAAAGGGGGATTCCGTTCGTTCTCCCTAAAAACGCCAAAAAACGCTCTCTGCCTGCCCATCACGCAACCCAGTCCTATTCTCTTTTCGTCATATCCCAGGGCATTAAAACCACCTCTTGCTGGATTTCTTGTGTTGCGCACTCTTCATCGAGTTAATTCTCCTCAACCGTTCCCGGTTGCTGGGATCAAGCAGGACGTCGGTGCTCTCGTCCCGGAACCAGTGGTTGGGGGCGTTGCGGTTGTGCAAGTCGCCCATCTTGACACGCTGCACCTTGCGGAGCTTGACGAGGCCGTACCAGCAGACAATGAGCGAGGCAATCGTCGACACCGAGGTGACCATAGCAAATCCCCAGTTGGTTTCCTCTATGAAATTCTCCAGGTTCATGCCGTACCAAGACGCCAAGAAGGTGCCCATTGCGAGGCCGAGAGTGCCCACGCTGAACTTGAGATCGAGCAACATGAGCGAGTTACGGTTAGCGTCAAGAATGGCACGGACACTGTGAAGTGGTTAGTTGCGTGTTTCCCCGTAAGTTTGGTAAGTGGGTAAATCTTACATTTCCTCCGTGTTCCTGATGCTCGAGACGAGGTTACTCGCTTCCTCCACAACTTCATCGCAGATCTTGTTGTAAGACTCCAACAGGAGCTCGATTTCAGTGTGGTCATCCTCGCCTCTGTAGAGATCATGCGTTTTCTCAGTCAAGTACATGGACGCAAGATCATCATCGGCTTCCAGCAGCTCCTCGATGGCATCACGCACGAGCTTGGCCTTCTGCTCGAAAGTGCTGACCCTCTTGGACAGGACAAGCAACACCCTCAACTTCTCGCGGTCAATATCATCTTCGAGCTCGCTAAGAATGCGGATGACAGGGTCGCGAACGGCTTCGAAGTCGGCTTCCAACTCCGAAGTGACCGACATGAGCACGGCTTCAAGAGCGCGGAATTCGTAGGGCAGACTGTTGGCTCCGGACGACTGCTTCTGCTGCAGCTTGCCTTGTAGATCGTACATGAAGGCCGACTGGGGGTATGAACTCTTGGAACCGTAGACGTCGAACAGAAGGACGCAATCATGCTTGATCAGGACCCTCAAGTGTAGCAGGTTGAGAAGGATCGCCGAGGGACGAATAAGGATATGCGGAAGGTTGGATGAATCGATCTTGCGAAGATCGCGAGGTAGAAGACCGTACTATTGCGTTTCGACTCGTTAGCAATGCCATCATAGCATCTCTTCCACCTGTGTCAGACCACGTACCTTTGCGATAAGCTCACTCTTTTTGAGCTCACCGTCCACCATAACAACGTTGCCGTTCTCATCCACTTCTGTACACCTCAGTCTGGGATCCATTGCAGCCTTTGCCGTCAGAGCCCTGCGCTGGAAGATGGAACCGGACTCTTCTTCGAGTGCGACTCTTATGTCGTCATCGTTCAGCCGGGTATTTGGTGGCCCCTTCTTCTCGCCATTGCCGAACAGCCACTCTTTAAGACTTGGCCTCTTGGGGCACGGGTCACAGTCGGAGGATTGGTTTGACGAGAACCGCAACGAGCCAGCCGGCGGCGGGAGTGCGAGAAGGGGCTTTGTGGTGCGCTGTTTGCGAAGCGACTTGGGGAGAACGGCATCAAGGTCGACAAGACCGGCGCGCAATTCGGTGCGCTTGGGCGGTGTTATCGTACTCAGCGATCTCGTCGTCGTCGAGGAAGGCTGTCTTGGTGATAATTTGGTCGAACCGCCTGCGGTACAGACATGGCGACGCTGGAGAGCCGGGTGTCGTTCAACAGCGGCGCGACATGTTGGCGCAAACGGAAGCCCTTCGGACTGGGCACGAAGATACCGAAGGAGGCTCCGTGATGGCGCTGCTGGTCTCAATGCCGGCGGCATTGCAGCAAAGATCGTCGTCGTTGTGGGTTGACTGACGATTCTTCTCTCTTTTCCTCTCGTCGCAAACAGAGGGGAAAAAGAAAGGCGCGCAAATCAAAACGAGAGATGATTCGCAGTGTTTGTGAGGCCTTCCTGCCTTCCCAAAAGATGGCCGCAACGCACCTTACCAAATCCCAGTCGATGTTGTGCCTGCAGAAAATCATCGAACAGTCGTCAAAGCTTTCAATGGAGCCACGCCCAGTGGTGTTGTTGACAATCGCAATTGTCGGCAAAAGCGTGCAGTTAGAGGGGTGTGAATAAGCACTGTTAGGAGTGTGTGCACTCGAAGCGGGGATTCGTCATGCTGCCATGCATGCGGGCAACTCCAATCGACATGGAGGTCGCTGGTGTGTTTTCTATCAATCACCATGCTTCAGTTGATAAGAAATTGTTAATGCATTCAACGCCTGGATAACTTCAATAGACGCTTTGGTTCTTCACCTATTCCTATTTGACATTTTTTGCTTGACATTACAACTGCAGAGTTCTCTCAATGGATTCTCCTCAAGATTTACCCTGGTTATCTGCATGAGATGTTTATAGTTTCCCTAGCAACGACACTCACTGTTGCTGTTGACAACGTTCCATAGCGGCTTCCTTCCTTCTCCATAACCCAACCCAGTCCCTCTTCATCACCTCTTCAGAACCCACTTGCTTAATGTAGATTTGACGACTTACACGACTGGTTCAAGTTGACCACTCGAGCCACATCAAAACAGGCCTCTTTGCCGTTCTCGTGCACTCCTGTAGAACGGTAAACAATGAAGCTGACACCCATCAAAATCAGAGGCCGCCACGGCCGCAAACAACCATGGCAACCTCCCAATCCCGAGCGCTTCAAGCGCAAGCACCTGGATGGTGATGATGGTGATGAGGAATTCGACGAGGAGACTGGTGTCATTCCCAGCCAAGTCGACCAAAATGGTGTTAGACGCCGACGACGCGTCAAGACGAGAAAGCCGGCGGCGCCCATTGAGCAGCTGCCGCCTGAAATTCTTGAGCGTATCTTCTCCATGTCCGAGAACCTCAACTTTCCAAGGAGTAGTCTTCGCATTGGCTACATGCTTTCAGCCAGGACCTTCCTTTTGCAGCTGATTGTTGATGCCTTCTCTCCTACGTGGGATATGTGGTTTGGCTGTCCCAGGAAGGATATCCAGTCGTATCGAGGCTATGAGAAGGATGATGAGAGAATGCCTGGTAATCCAGACTTTCAGGTTAGTTTACTTGGTTGAAATGCTGAGATAATGAGACACTGTCACTTGAAACATTGTTTACACACGTCCGTTACTCATTCACCCATTCACACTATTTACTTCTTCCCTCTCATACTCTCCTTCTCTTACAAACATCATGAATTAACATCATCAAACAGACCGCCATCCTCTCCTCCAAATGGCTCACCCTCTCCCTGATCCTCCACGCCCAACAAGTCTGGATCCGACGTCAACAGAACGGCTCTTCTATCTCTGCTTCACGTCCCTTCATCCACACCGAGAACTGGCTCACGCTCGGCCCCACGGAGCGCATGGAACTTGACCGGCACCTCATACAAGGTCCCGGCCCCGATGAGATCCAAGACTACACCATGGACGACATCCAAGACAGCTACCCGCACCGCCCTCACCACCGCCTGCACTTTGACGGTGAATTCTTCGGGGACTCCTCCGGCCGGGGCTCTTCTTCTTCCTCGTCCCAGTCTAACAACAACAAGCTGGACATGGAAATCTGCTTCAAAGCCGATTGGGAATGGTTCACCCTCATTCTGAACAAGTTCGACCCCTATGGAGCTCTCTATAGCAGAGAAAACCGCGCCTTGCGCACGGGGTATTGGGATATTCACCCGGCGACCAAGATTCCGAATCATTTGTTGGCAAACCCGGTTGCGAGCTGGGACTCGGTTAAGCTGTTGTATTGGTTGGTCAGAGGTGGTGCGACGTTGTCGAGAGAGCAAACCTGGGAAGTGAGTAGTTATCCCCATGGACCTTTTCTGCCCTTTACCTTTTCCCTTCACTGTTTCCCTTCGTCTGTACCCTTATTCTTTTGCCCCTTAATCCTCCCTGGACCTTTTTTTTCCCCAACCATATATTCCCTTAAAACCATCTCCCTTCGATTCATCTTCTCGATCTTTCCCCCTCAACCTTTCCTCTCCAAACGTCTCTCGCAAACCTCCCATTCTCTTAACATTATCCATTTTCTCTCCTCCCCATCCTCAATCAACCCGACTAACCATCCAAAACAGCTCACAAAACTCGGCTACGAGCGCCTAATGTCCCACCCCGACGGTCCCTCAAAGCCTTACATCCCCCCAAACCCACAATCACCAGAAGAAGAACGATCCCAAGAATACGAACGTGAACAAATGTCCCTCGCGGTCCTCCGCCTCTTCTCCACCCTGCGTGTCTTTTGCCCGGGACATTGGCCCACCTATCTCATGATGGAGAAGATGGAAGAGGTCAGCAGGGAGCGGCAGACGCGCACCAAGTATTCGGATTCGCAGAAGCCGGGGTATGAGCTGTGGAAGTGTGCGCAGATGGTTTTGAGGCATTGGATGATGCAGAGGTACGAGGAGCGGGGGGAGAGGGTTGATGTTTAAGATTAAAACTGTGATCACTGAGGAATGATGAGGCGAGTGGGGGGTGTTGATATCATTTTGTTTCTTTCTGTAGTTCTGTTGAGGGTTTGAGGAATTGCTTGATGAAGTAAAGGGGTTGTTGTTGTTGTTGTTGTTGTTATTTTTAACGTCTACTTCCGCCTCCCGTAGGGCATGAGACGTGCCGCACCGGTGAGTCTAGCATACAAAATTAAGAGCAGTGCCCTAATTGTCCACCAAAACCATTAATCCGAGGGCAAACCAAGGCCTATTGCCAATGTAAATCATGTGTTGCCCATAGCGTAAACGCGGCCCAACACTTGTAATCGAATCGCCCAGTGGGCGAGAAGTAAAGGGGATGAGGTGGTGACTACCTACGTTAACTATCTGATAGGGGAAGCATGATAGAGGTGGGTAGGTCTCCAGGTTCACTTACCTCTATAAAATCGTCCATGAATGAAACACTGCTTATCTACCAGGCGGCTTTACACCTGTTCCCATTAATGCTCCAACTCAGGTCTCATAGCACGACACTCAATACTTCTGCAATCAACTTATCAAGCCGGCACGAATCAGATCAACACACATCAGGACACCACAATCACGGTCAAGTCCAGGCACAAAGAATAAATCTTCAAGGTCTTCACTATCAACTATCATAGACTAACTCCCAGAACTCCAAGCACCTTGATACCAATGGAGATCCAATGCCTCCGCCCATATATCCCATGACCTTGCACGATATCACCATGGTCCAACGGTACCCTTCCAATAAAGCCTCCATTTACAACCTAGATGCCATTGAAAAAGACCCGTCAAACCTGCTGATGGTCGGAGAAATACCTGACATATCCCAACCCCGGAAACAAAAACCTCAAGCGCTTCCGTCAGTTTGTGCTGTGTCCTGTGCTGCGTTTACCAGTCATTGGTAGCAGACACAGAGGTATTGCCGGCGTTGGTTAAGCACCCCAGCCATCGCCGCCAGCATTGTCGTCGACATTGTCGCCGCCATCACCGTCAGCAGCGCCCCAACCATCATCAGCTTCATCCTCGCCGGCATCATCACCGCCGGCACCCTCCTCCTCGAAGTCGGAATCGGCCTCGAAATGAAGGTGTTCAGTGTCCTCGGGAATGTAGGACTGGAGGAAATCGGGGACCTCCTGACCGGTCTCGAGAAGAGTCCTAGTAAGAACAGAGGCGAGATCCTCGTCACGCTCGGTATAGAACGAGGTGGCAAGACCTCTGTGGCCGATACGACCAGTACGACCAATCCGGTGGGTGTACTCCTCAATACCACCATACATGGCGGAGGGCAGGTCGAAGTTAATGACGTGCAAAACGTTGCGCACATCGATGCCGCGAGCAGTGACGGCGGTAGTGATCAGCACAGGAGATCTTCCGGCGCGGAAGGCGCGCATGGCAGCCTCACGCTCCCTCTGGGTTCTCTCACCGTGCATACTGACGCAAGGAACTCCCTTGTTGAAAAGGAAGTCATCCAGCTCATCAGCAGCGCGCTTGCTGTTGACGAAAATGATGGTGCGGCCGGGAGGCACCGTGTTAAGAAGGTCCAGGCAAGCCTGCTTCTTCAAGTAGGGCTCCACCCAGATGACATCCTGCTTGATGTTTGAGTGGGTGCTGCCGGCACGTCCAACGCGGAGACGCACATGGTTGTCCGCAAGATGAGTCCTGGCGAGGTCGCGAGCGGACTTGGGGAAAGTGGCGGAGAAGAGCATGTACTTGATGTTGCCCTCTTCCTGGTCTGTAGAGGTCACAAAGTATTAGCCCGAGCTCATCATGTGTTTGGGAAAGCGGGAGGATGTTGTGCTGGGTTAACTTACCACCACCAGAAAGGATCTGATCGAATTCGTCCTTCCAATCGTCATCAAGCATCTCGTCTGCCTCATCAATCACCATGTAGCGGACACGGCGCAAAGACAGGACCTCCGGGCGATCCATGAAGTCGATCAAACGACCGGGAGAGGCGACAAGGACGTCGCACCCTTTTGAAAGTTGATCTAGCTGATCCCTCATCGAGCCGCCGCCGTAAAGGACGCAAGGGCGCAGCATGGATCGATAGCAAAACTTCCTGGCCTCATTGAAGATCTGCACAGCCAGCTCACGGCTGGGAACGACGATGACAACCAGAGGCTCAGCTCGGCAGGGCTGGTCAATGCCAGGCTGGTAGGTGGCCGGGTTGGGACGAGGAGCCGCCAGCTTCTTTGCCTTGCCCATCAGCTTGTTGATGATCGGGATCAGATATGCAGCCGTCTTGCCAGAGCCTGAAGATATGTCAGTGTCAAGGTTATGAGGAGGGCGCCTGAAGATTAACTCACCAGTCTGGGCAATTGCGATGACATCATGTCCCTGGCTGATCGAGGGAATGCAGTACCGCTGGATCGGAGTCGGCACATCGTAGCCCGCAAGCTCGACATTGCGGAGCATAGCCGGGTGCAGGCCGGCATCCCTAAAGTTGTCGATGGGCTCGACGCGAGTAGGGCCCTCCTGGACAAGCTCAAGCTCAGCAATGGCAGAGAAGTCGATGCCCCTGCGGCCGCGCTCTTCAACAGGACCAAAGAGTTGGACCTCCAACTCGGGGAACTCGGGGCCAATGTCGCCCTCCTCGCCATCCCACTCGTAAATGGGGGCTTGACCATCCCACTCGGTCTCACGGTTGGCGAACTCGTCGTAGTGATACGGAGTTGCCTCGACCCAACCCTCAAGCTTGGGAGGTTGGACCTGCTCGATGGGAGCGGGGGCGCCTTTCTCGCCGTTGACGGAATGATGGTCAGCGCCGTTGTGGCCGTTGGTCTCCGGGAGAGCCGACCGGAGATCAGAAGTGCCCCAGGCACCGGCCTCTACCTTGGTGGCAGCGGGGCAGCGCCCCAGTTGTTGTCGGCCATGACGCGGGAGTGGCTGTAGGCGATGGATAGGTTAGCTTGATGATCAGGTGAACGATGAGCGATGGTGGAGTGAGGTCTGTGATGGAATCAAGTGATCCCATGCGCTCATGTGGAAGTGAGAGATGGCGGGGTGACGCGACCGTGGAGGCAGGGCGCATCCGCAATGAGGATGATATCGATGAGGATGGGAAGACGACAAGATACATACTCTTTGCAGCGCTGGAAGGGTTCGGAGAGCAACACGTCGACCTATTGAAGAGTTCTGCCAGTGGGTGAGGATGTGAGAGGAAGAAGTTGTGGGAGGAGGAAGGGTAAAAATATTTTGAACTTTTATATCTGAGAAAAGCACAAGCCACCCAAGCTTTGTGTGCCAAAGAGGAGGGGTACTTGTTGCGTAAATAAGGTAAGGCAAACTGAAATTGGCAAGAGAGGAAGGAGCGGCGGCGGGAAGGGTGGCGGGGCAGAGGCAGCTACGATGGAGGGAAAATATGAGAGGGAAGGTATGACTGGATGAGCCCCTGCCTGGCAGGCGGTGCACGCACTTTTAGGGACGAGAAACAAAGCGTCACTGGCAGAAAGATGACGGGTAGCAACTGCCCGCCGCTGGTATAGCAAGTTTGAGACTGTTTTGGTCACGATAAGGGACAAGACGATGGGGCTGCGTGTGGCGTGGATCAAAGTGACGGCCCGGGGAGATCTTTGGTACGCGGGTATCGAACGAGAAAGGTACCGGCCCTTTGGTTCACCGACAATGGAGACTCTTTGCGAACCTGGCGTCTTCTTCATGATCACAATCTTGACCTACGGAGTGTCTCTTGGATATTCTGTCGAGCACCTAGAGGGCTGATCTACCTAGATTTCCTGCTTTGCGCCCTCTGTTTTCTTACTCCTTTTCGTTGTCGGAATCCCATTACGTCGGCCACCAGTTGCAGCGTACCACTTTTCAAATGCCTCCCGTCCTCCAGGTACCTGGTGTTGTCAGCCACACTGCCACTTGATCTGACCACGAGCACGGCACGCCGTAGCGGGATGATTCTTTCGCGTTCGGACCATCTTCCAACAGGTTCCAAGCGCGTCCTGCTACCAGAGGACGGGACAAAGGCGGTATCCAGCTTGGATGGGCTATTGTTTTTTCTGCTGCCCGCAGAATAGCCATTCAATGGTGTCTGTCTTGGTGGCCGTTGGGGGGACCGGATCAAGGCACAGATCCAGGCCGGCACGGCAGTCAAACACTCCTTGATATTATCCAAAGGAAGGCAGGGAACCCTTCGACTATTCACAGATGTCACAATAAAGCTTTATTGATCCAGAATATGGAAGTTCCTCCAGAACTGGTATGCTTGTAGCTTCATTTTATCTGAGTGTCTCGCCTGCCTCTTTTCCCTCGCCATGGCTTGAAACCTCTGCCACTCTAGCTTCGACAACGCGACCCCATCTATACTCTATCCGAACCGCGGTCAGGCAAGGGAACGAAAGCTTCACAACAGGCAAATAATGGCGCAAGAGACGAGATCTCGAGACGCTACACTAGGTAGCCCAGGCAGATACAGACGTTATTCGAAGGAGAAGAGAGCCAGCCAGCTAACGAGACTTGGACGAAAGACTATCCCCAGGTAAGCAAAGAAAATACCAAGAAACACCCTCAAGACATGCGACGCCAGCTAACAACATGCTCAACAAGCAGGACATGGGAGAGAATCAACCTCAACGTAACTCGATGGTGGTCCGAAAACGCGATCGCGAGAGCGAACAATCCAAAGCACAAGAAGAACAAACCAGGACGATACGAACAGGCGAACAGGCGAACAAGCGTGAACAAACGACCACACCGCGCGGACAGGACGAATACCTACCTACCTACCTATCTCTCGTCTATACTTCACACACATTTCGTCGGACTATATACCCCTCAAATCTCCAGCCTCAAGCCTCAACCATTATTCCCGGGGCCAGATGGAAATAAGGAAACCATAAGACATTCGTTCGTCATTGGGAACAAGAACAGGCAGGTATTGCAAGACACTAGACTACAGGCTACAACAGCTCGACAATAGGACGATAGATTTAAGCTTAATAATAGGACGATAGACTTTACAAGAGAATAAGGAGAAAAGGAGAAAAGGATACTCGCAAGAAGAGACTATAACACCCATTCCCATAGAATATCGCCTGAGATCCATGATACCGGGGTAGTTGACAACACGCACCCCGGTCGGTCTTCTTGGACTATTCCCGACTGGAGTGAGTGACCACATAAGGAGAAAGGAGGCATTCTTTCATCAAGGAAAGGCATTCATCCGCTGGCACATCTACCTTGAGTAGGAACCGACATTGGAAGGCGCAAGATTAGATTACAGTTCTAGAGCAGCATAGAGGTAGGTGTAGGATAGAATAGAAGGCAGATCATGCAAGAGTTTACCTTAGGTAGGTTTTCTAGAATACGCTTTCCTACTGATCTCAGCACTCAGACCTCATTACTGGGCGTTACGGAAATTTTCGTTTGGGTGGTAATTCTGACCACAATCTCAGCCAATACCACAAATACACCGAAACTTTGGAAACAATGAAAATTACACCCATCTTGGGCGGCCCAGCCCGGTAAAGTATTTTACACCCGCCCAAAAAAGGGGAGGTCTGAGCACTGAGATAACCTCCTACCCACAGTGGCAGGCAGGTATGTATTCCAAGTTGAAGTCATGGCGTTATAGTAATGAAGTGCTTCGAAGACTGGAGGGAATTTGAAATTGTTCAAACATGTTTTAATTATACTTACTTAAATGCCGATACACCATGCCGTGCCATAACTATCGTCTCCTAGATCTCGTTCGAGCTTCCCTTCAGTGTGTAGTACAACATCCCTAGCAGAGTACCTAGCTCTGCTACGAGGACTCTTTGTTTTCTTTCTTTCATAACTCCCGTTCGGTGTGGTGTTGTTTGTCCTCGGACGCTCGATCAGCTCCTTGCTCCATCAGCTGCGTACTCCGACCAAGGACCTAAGCCCCTTCTAGGATCATATCCACGTGTGTCCCTGACAGTGAGAATGTCCCCATACTCCCGTCCATCATTAGGTGATACCCAAGTTTAATCAACCCTAATAACAACCTTCCACCCTAACGCCCCCGCCTCCCGAATCGCACAAGCCAAACATCCTCTCCGTCTTCGACTAATCACGGCATTCCAGCCCTTCTCCGCGCAAAACGCTCTGACGAGTATCTCCATATCCGAACCAAACTGGCGCCTTCGCGTCTCCGAGTGCATCTTTCTTGAGGCACTCTCCATGTTCCCCCCTCCCGTTGCTCCCTCTTCCTTGACACCCTCGAGCGTCGTCGGACTAGCGCACTCGTTTGTCGACGAGGTGATGGGAGAGACGGGAGTGTGATCATTACCATTTGTACTATTAAAACTGTCGGTGGTGCTGCTCCTCCGAGGTGTAGGGAATGAATAGCTCCCGTGTCTGCTAACGACTGGCGATAGGGGTATTTCGTGTTCCTGGGGCAATGACTGGAAACCGGTGATGCAGTCAATCACCAGGAATTTGGCTGCGCTCTTGGCGGAAGTGGGCGTGAGACTGGGTCGGTGGGCGGCGGACGAGCAGTCGTCTAGTAACGCCTCGAGGGAGAAGTCTTGCTTTGCCATTAACTCTGACAGATGCAGAGCAGTGTATGTATAAGATTTATGGAGGGGGTGGCCTGTGATTGTGTCAGTGACGGTCAAAAGATCGGAGTGCGAAGGAATTGACATACCGACAACGCTTACGGTCTTACCGGCGCCGCCACGCCCGGATAAGTCCACTTGCTGAATGGTAGGGCTGGATGGTGACCTGAGAATCTTGACATGTGAAGAGGGGACACATGGGTGAGAGGTCACGAAGTTGACATCCTTTGCCAAAGAATAGGTATGTTGCTTGGTCTCGTAGGTGTCCATATCCATGACGGTAAAAGACACCTCAGCAGGATATGTTTGGATCTGCGCCGGGCGACTAAGCTCCGAAAAGGGGGTAGCCGCGTTGTCTTCAGCTGGAGTGGTATGGTTCGAATTGATTGGTGCCTGTAGTTTCAAAGCATCCAGCTCAATCAGGAGGGTGGGTGGCGTCTTGTGGCGATACACGTTCTCAAATGGGATGATAAAGTCGGCTGGCAGGACTGACGAGGGGTCCGCGTCTCCCAAGACGTTTGAGTCTCTCTCAACTGCGAGCTTAGCCCAGATGCGGGCCTTCTTATTGATCCCAAGGGCGTCCTCTGTAATAGTTGTCAGTTGTGCAATCACTAATCGGTCAAGAAGGCCATCACTCACCTGCAGGTTCCTCGACGTCGATATTCACCCAGCCGCCACCAAATCCCTGGGGAGTGATATCGCTAGAGATCCAGCCCATGCACTCAGCAGAACCCTTACCCGCCGCAAGAACCCGGCCGACAATGCAAGACGTGCTCCAGAAACTCTTGCCCGAATACACGAAACCGCCGCAGAGGTTGGCCATGGTTCCAAGCCTCGCCATAGCCTCTGGGTCATTCTCCAACAGTGTAGCCATCAGGAAATGACAAATACCATCACCAGGTAGCATCAGACCAGACACATAGCTCTTTGACAACCAACCCGCCGAGCGCAATGCTGCCGATATCATCCTGCGCCTCGAAGGCTCGCGCTTTGGAGCTGCTGGTCTGTGCAGATCATGGCCAGTAAAGTAGGAGGAGCGATGGCTCTCTGCTCTGCTCAAGGGACTCGCAAGCGGAGTGTTGAACTGGGTTCCTTCAGTGACTGCTCGGCAGTTTTCGGAAATTTTGGAAGCATAGAAGTCGATGTCGGGCCAGCGCAACCTGGTCGCAAAATGCTTCAGTCCATAGACCTGGCGCTCGACATGCCTACCCTTAATGGCATATACCGGACCATGATGGTCCTTGTGGTTATGAGTGCCATGGTCGCGGGCAATGGACATGCGCTTCGTCAGAGTTGCCAACCAGCCTATTGGCTTTTCCTGCTCTGGACTGGGCGGGTCTGTCTTGACTATTTCAATGTTCTCCAACCATGCCCGGGCCAGGTGCAACGACCATTTAACGGTTGTGTTGGCGTCTTTTTCGAACTTGTGGATCTCAGCAGGGTTGATGCTCTCGATGCCAAGTTCGTCGCCCTCCGTAATGGCGTCGAGCCGTACAAGAAGCTCACAAGCGAGTAAGATTTGGAGGAGAAGCCAATATCTCTCCTCCGTAACGTCGCTGACCTCGCCGGGTTTGATTGATGCGTCATCATCGGCCTGGCCCTCGTCAGGGATGCCCCAGAGCAACTGCCCAAGCCGGATTCTCCACTCGACGAGTGAGAAGTCGATCCAGATGTTGGGAGCAGCGAGGACCTTGACCAAAGCAGCAATTTGCACCGAAAGGCTATATGGATCTCTATGATCAAGCACCTTTGTCGGAGGGTGAAGCATCTGGAGGAACAACTCATTGTATAGCTCGCTCGAGAGCCGACGCTCGCGCGGGTGCTGCTCACTGTAGCGCTTGCCGTTTTTGATCAGCTGTTCGAAAATCAAAGTTTCGTCCACATGGCGAAGGCCATCCTTAGAGGTCAGCATTCTTTGCCGTGCGTCAACGATGGCGTGAGGCCTGGATGCGAGGCTCTCGAAGCCCCATTGATCCTCCTTTAGCGCATCGGCAACGTTGAGTTCCAAAGCGGCTTGGAAACCCATGCTTCCCTTCTCAAGCCCGCCCATGCTCAGCATGCTGGGCCGCTCGCGACAGCGGGGATAGAAATGCGCACGGCGCTTTCTCTCCGAAGCTCGTTGGGCCGTGGACCTATCAGGCTGGATATCACGGGTGATATGCGGCCATGCTGAGACGCAGGTCCAAGCGCGGTCTTCGATCTGGGTGTGGTCGGTCAGATCCCGGATTTCGAGCTCCTCGTCCCAAGGGAACGCGACTGACGGATGCGGAGCGCCAGTATAATGGCCTTCGGATCGGTCAAAGTACTGAGGAGCTCCCGAGAAGAGCTTCTCTATCTCAGAATCGGATAGGGTAGCCATGATGCGGGCAAGTTTTAGTACCGGTCTTGTTGGACGGTCCCGCCTCAATTCACTGCCAGGTGGAGGCGGCGATGGGAGCGGTTTGTTAGCATTTATAGGAGAGCGTGATGATGACGGCGTGTGCGCCGATGGTGATCTGGGTGTATGGATCTCTGAGACTGGTGATCGAACTGCTGTTGAAGTAGTTGGTGATCGGAGTGTTGGTGGAGGAGGAGTCGTCTAAGTTGATAGTAACAGAAGTGGTCAGCCAAGCCGTTGTTTAGTCTCAAGTAGTTTAGAAAACCACAATGTCTTTCAACATCAACTAAAGCAGGGCGGAGATGTGTGTCTCTGGGAGGAGCAGGAGGTTGGGCATGAAACGAGAAACGACAGACAAGATGCCCGTCGTGTTTGGGTCGAGCATGTCTCCGCGTGTTGTATGCATCGTGTAAGTGCTCCCGTCGTACGATTGGCCCCCTGTAAATGCAGACGTATAGTGCCACAATGAGAGTGGTGCAGAGGGACGTTAGAGAGGATCACGCGGGCAGTCTTGGACCAACCCGGACCACTCAACGGGTTCTCTGGAGTGCGGCTTCGCTGTATGTAAATCCTCTCGCATGGGCCTCATTTTGGAGAAAGCTGGGGAAACCTGGGGAGGGGAAAGAGGAGATGACGACACTTGCCCGTCTTCACCAACAGCAACACGACATAAATGAACGGTCTGTGTACCGCGTATACAATTGTGAGACCTCTTGTGCTTCTTGGTTCATTGCTCATTGATTTCCTCCATCCATATGATGAAGAAACATCATGACCCATCGCAGTCTCGAGGTTCAATCGTGTGAGTTGGGATATTCAATGTAAACGGTCTGAAGCTTCAAAATGCACTTTTGCCTCTGCATCAGGTCTAATGGCCGACATGCATGAACAGACGACATGATGATGGAAGTCCGATGCAATGGGATGAGGATGGAAATCACCTACTTGGATGCAGCACAACTAAGAAAGAGAAAATAAGGTATGAATAAGAATCCGTACTTGTCTGAATGAAAAAAAAGAAGGGGGAAAGGATAAAGAGTAGGTAGGTATGTATAATGAGGGGAAGGAAGTGGTTTCTACTTACAGCTTCTCGAATGGGGTTCCCATGCCTTGTCTTGACGTTGTTTCCCCTCTTTGATCTCCTCTCTGTTCCCCTCCTCGTGTTCCCCCTTCCCGGTCGCTCATAAATTCCCGCCGCCTTTGAGAGATTGGGATTGGAGGCTGCGATGCAGCTCTTCCCCGCGGAGCAGCTTTGGGACTTGCCTGGTGTTGGTGAGGGGTCGATGTGCCTGAGGAAGGAGACGAGGCGTTGTTGGAGGAGTTGGTGGTGGGTGGCAGCTTCCCGGTTAATCGATTACGGATGTCTTGCAGAAACAGGTCTCTTCTCGACCCGCGCCGCTCCTTCTTCTTCTCATTTGTCGTCGTCTGAGCACTCTCCCGTCCATTTCCGCCAATCGAGTTTCGTCGTGAACTTTCGTTGCTGTTGGTGTTGTTGAAGGTCAACCCCAAGCCAAGCCCTCCAAATCGGCCCCTTCCATTATTACCCAATCCTTCAGCAACAGCAACATCCCCTGTTCCCCCAAAGACATCTTCGGCAACGGTGACAACGGTGGCGTCTGCCGGCTTGGCGAATTCCGAGTTCCGCCTCCGGGGCGTCCTCCTCAACATCGACAAAGACGGCATCTTTTCTTCTTTGTGGGAGATGGCGCGCTGGCGGAATGATATGCGCCGCCTCGATCTGCGGCCGCGGCGCTCTCATTGAACGAAGAAAAAAGCGAACCGAACCGGGAGAGCAGCGGCGTCCACCTGTTAATAGAGGCCCACGGCACTTATGCTCCAGCGGGTTCGTTGTGTTTGGTGTCCACCGGGATGCGATACGGCGATAGACTTAAACTTGCCGGGGCCGGATTTGCTGTGTGAAGCTTGCCAAGAACTCGACGTCGGCTTCAGAGAACTTGGGGGCTAAGGCCTCAACACTATTCGTTCGAATTGCTTGGTGGGTTTCGCTGATCAGTTGAAACATGCAGAGACAGCACAGGAAAAAAAAAAAGAAGGCTGTGATGAGAGGAACCTAAAGAGTATAAAAAGGGAAAAAGATGGACTAGGCCGTCGATGATCCGTTGGTCCTAGTGAGCTGGTCTAACGGACTAATATTGTGAGGATGGAGACCGCGGCTTGAATAGGAGCTATGCTGAGGAGTGAGGAGGAGGAGGACACATAAACTCCGGCACAGGCTTCATGGTTGTCTCAGGATATCCCAGGTACGTCCGTTATATTATGGCGGCGACAACGGCAGTCATCAGTCTTTGCCCGGTTCCCGTCAGAGCTTCTTCTAATTCTGGTCTGGAGTGGTGGAGGGATGGATGAATGGGAAAACCGGACTGACAACCAACCCCCAACCAAAGCCAATGACATGAGAAATAATAGGGACTGCTATTTCCATCGTGAACAACTTGACAAGGACTGGCCATGATAAGAAGAGGCTGCCAGCCTGCCACCAGTCCATCACCCCGGAAGCCTCACAACTTTGCCCTCATCTACCTGTGCTTGGGTAAGAAACCTCGAGAGCCGGAGGGAAACGCTGCGCCAGCCAAAGCAGTCCATCAACAACAACCCACAGCCAGTCACAGGCCAAAATACATAGGGATGTGCCCGACTGGTTTGTTTCGAATCCATGGAGTTCGCAGCCTGTAATCTTGCTCCCAGTCCTGGAAGAAATCACCGTGTGCTACAGGTGAACTTTTTTTCTTCCTAATTGCTTCATTGAATCGGCCATGGTTGGACTTTGGAAGAATTGGTATTACGTCCGCTTGGATCTGCCCGGAGGGAACGCACGCACGCAGTGACAATAGGGGCATGGCATGGGGAGGGTATGGGGGAACCGGCCCTAAAACAGTGGGCGGACCGACGGGAAGTTTCCCCCCTACAAATCCACGCTGGGATCCACGTTGAAGCATTCACAAACCAAAGAAGCTCCCCTGGACTTCCTGGATCCAACCTCAAATACCGGTTTTGGACTGCGATTCATCAATGCCAGTCCTGAAGAGCATTGGGAGGGAAGTTTCCATGGTCGTATATTCCGCCAAGGGGACATCGTCGTCGGAGATCCCAAGCGAGACCCAGGGGACTTTTGTCCACAACCGTCCAGCAACCGTCAACATTCAAAAGCGGCAGGGGATTGCCTTACAACCACGCTCACTCTCTAACGGCCAGAACGATGTCCTGTTGCGCAAATGCAGTCATAGCAATAAAACACAATCGACGCCGCAATTTCGCAGGCTGACAAGGACCTCCTCTTTTTATGCTTCAGCTGACGGTTGCGGCAGTCGGGCAGGTATTCATGATACTCCGAAAGTGGTGATTTGGTCGAGTAACAAACCCTCCATTGTTCGTCGAAAGCTACCAGGCGGGCGAACCATGATCATTCTGAAACACAAGGTGCCACTACAAGACCGGACCAACCATCTCATACTGTTACAATAGACTACCAATTGATCACGGCATTTGCCGCGCTTGTCGTGGACGATTTGATAATTATATCTTGTGTGTCCGATTGGAAAATGTCGGGGAAAAAAAAACGAATGGCAAGATTGTGAATGGGTACAATTAAGCGGGCGTCCGGCGTCTAAATTGTTGCGCTAAAATGACCATCAAACTGCGACTGAGTGGCAGCCGCTGCCCGCCAGTCGTTTCGTTATGTGTGTGCAACTCAACTAACTTTATCAGCGACAACCGCCCTTTGAAGCACGATATCATCTTGTCCGACGGAGAAGAGAAGGTGAAGGGCTGAATGAAGGGTATCAAATCATGTTTAAACCAGTCAGTCGTCGCAGTAATTCAGAACCCAACTGCCATTTGCCCAATTGTCATTCATCATCCAACCATCCATCCAGCTACTTTTCTTCCTCTGTCATCAAAAACACCCAATGAAACGCAATCCTCTGCGACACGAAACGGATATCTGCCAGAGCCTTATGCCTTATGCCCTATGCCATTCATGCGCCGTGCGCCATGCGACCAACCAACTCATGTCGATATCGAAGCACCCCGTGCCGCACGCAATCCCATCAAAAAGTGCGGATGGGAGCCGTAACATCTGCCTTGTGTGTGTCTGTCCCGTGTCCCATGTCCCATGTCTTGTTCTCGATCGGGAAATCGTCGGCCGACCGTGCCGTGCGTGCGTCGCGACGTGCGTTATGAGAGCTTGTAAGGGTCCTTCGGTACGCCTCAAAGGTTTGAAGTATCGGATTAATGAACTTGTTCCCAAATCGTCCCGGTCTTGGCGTGACCCGAGCACCATTACCACCGCTATCACCACCACTAAAATTATCATCACCAACATTTCGCCGAAGGACAATGTCAAATTTCCCTCTTACGGTCTTGCACTGCGCCCCTTGTAACAGTGACTGGGAGGACTAACTCATCATGCCGGGGGAGTATCGTGAAAGACGACAAGCAGGTATTTCGCATCGGGCACGATTACTAGTTCCTGCTTTTTCGTTCGTAGTCGTAGGAGCTTCAACTCGTCCTGTACAGGTTGTTGTCAGTTTAAGCTTTTCTCGCAAACCTGAGCCAATCCTTTTGGGTCCCAGGTTCCATCTAGAGTTCAGAATCTTGGGTAGAGATTGGGTAAGGGAAAGGGGAAAAGAGAACCTGCGAGAACTCACCTCCCCATCCAATTCCTGCACGAACTCGCCCGCATTCGACACAAAACTCCACACCATTGCCGCGAGCTCTACCACGTTTTGATCGTAGGCGCTCACTGCATTGCTTCCGCTGGTGCTTGCACTCCTTGCCCCCGCTGCAGCTGCGCTAGCACCTGCTCCAGCTCCAGGTACATCACCATCCATGCCCGTCCCCGAAGACACCATCGTTGGTTGCGCAGCAACTGCCTCCTCCCCCGTCGTAGTCACCGCCGTACCGGGAGCCGCTCCTGCATCGGTAGTGGTCGTGTCGGTAGTGGCTCCAGGAGGGAAGGAAGGTGACAATGGGCCTTGCTGGTCCGTGACCGGTTCTGACTGCTCTGGTTGCTGTGGTTGAGGCTTGGCTTTCCGGATTGAAGAGATTTGACCACTGGTTTTGAGGATGGCTCCCGAAGCGCGGTCGAGGACCATGGCACCTTTCACTCCTGGCTTTTTGGAGAGGCGGCCTAGAGTCTCTTCGAGGTGGGCGGAGGGCGAGGGTGACTACGGGTGGATGTTAGTGACTGTGCCTGAGGAGGAAGAGCGCAGGTGGGGGGACTGACTGTTGGGTCGGACATTGTGAATTGATCTGTGAGTTTGAGGATTAGGTGTTCTGATTGAAGGGTTTGGTTCGCGCAACTTCAAGAGGTTGTTATTTCAAAAATGCGAAAGATATTCAATAAGCTATCGATGAGCTGTGAGAGCCCGAGCCTCCCTTGCTCGTTCGGTGAGAGCTCACAGAAGCAACGAACGAACGAACGAACAGCAACAGCGGCTAGCAAGGTACCCATGCCGTTACCCCTGGCCGACAGCTGTCAAGGGTCTTGGCACACCAAGGATTCTGCCACGTTATACCGCTAAAATTTCCAAACTCACATCGTTCGTTCACTCTGCGCTTCACCAGCGATACACTTACAAAGGGCCAAGGTAAGTATTCCCATATCAATCACTGATAAGAAGAGGCTGTCCGTCTAACTTTGCTTAGACTGTTACCCATCAAATACCGTCAAAATGGGTTCCAGCGACAAGAAAAAGAGGGAGAAGAAGAAGGACTTCAATGTATGTCATTTTTCACCCATTCCATTGATCTGAGGGGGGGCTGCTGTTGCGGCTCCCTGGCTTTATCAGATGCCCCCCCTTATCGGACCTTCTCACTAACACATATGATCATCACAACAGAAAGCCAAGTTGAAGGTCGGCAAGGCCAAAGCCAAAGCAGCCAACTTTACCGACACGAGCTTCAAGTCCAAATGTTGGTCATCACTTATCTCACTTCTCCTCATCGATACACTTGCTAACTACATCCCAGCCATCGTCGTAAACCAACACACCCTCGCCGCCCTCGACGGCGTTGACCTCGTTGGCCTCTTCAAGCAACACCTCAACCAAGCCATCAACTCCAAATCCGACAAGCTGCGCCAAGAAGCTCTCGTCCAACTAACCAAGGACCTCTCCTCCAAGCCCATCTTCAACCCAGTCGGCGTGCCCAACCTGCTCACTAAGCTTTTGCCCTTAATCACCGACTCCGTCGCCAACGTGCGCACCAACTTCCTCAAGCTCCTGCGCGCCCTCCCGCCCTCCGACGTCGCGCCCCATGTCGAGAAAATCCTCATGTACATCCGCGGCGGCATGACGCATCTCTCGACCGACATCCGCTCCGACACTTTATCCGTGCTCGAATGGCTCATCGAAGTCTGCCCAGATGAGACCGTCTCCTGCCCCGGCGGGTGGCTCAAAACCCTCAACTCTTTTTCGTCGATGCTAGGCTGGAACCCCAGCGTAGCCTCCACCCTGTCCGTCAAAGGCTGGACCAGTGCAACCAAGACCTCGCTCAACAAAGTCTCCAAGAAGAACGGCGAGGCTCAGGCAAAACAGATCACCATCCTCGCCAAGTTTCTAGAAGCCGGTTTCAGACCGGAGACTCCCCTGCCGTATGACGAGCAGAGATATTGGGATAGTATCTACCGGATGCCGACGATCCCGAACCCATTCGCGTATCTGAATCTGTGGGGCGCACAGAGGGATGAGGATGGCGAGATGTACCCCGATAGGATCTCGAGGGTGCAGGTTTTTGAAAGGAAGTGGAGGGCGGCGATCAAGACGGGCGTTATGGGCGCGAAGCAGGAGGGGGGTGTGATTGGGAGAGCGGCGTCAGTGTTGGATAAGGTTTTGAGGACGAGCGCGGCGGCGGACGGGGAGGGGGTGAGGAAGATGGTGGTGGAGGAGCAAGAGACGGTTGAGGAGGTTGAGGAGGTAGAGGCTTAAGCGTACGGCATGTGTCAGTGTGTGACTATTCACGTGGTTCACGGCGGTCGTTCTTCGTTTGGTCTAATGATCTGGGAAAGGATAAGGGTCTATTGTGGTTTCTCGTTTTAGGTTCTCTCGGTTTTATAGGTTTTTATGATTCCCTCTTGTTCTTTGTTTGTGAAGCATTCTCGCCTCATCATACATTTTTAAAAGTTGAGCCCATGGTCCCCTACCTGCTAGTTATGGAACACCATGACCACATCAATATAAGAAAGTATGATCAAGACATGAAAACGGCCTCACTTAAGCTTTCCACTTTACGCCATTAACCTTGAACCCCCACGTCGTCGCCCACCGCCATCGGAAACCGGCAGTCATCCACCCACCTTACAACATGGAAGCAAACTTCCCGCACCTTCCACTTCCATCTCCTTCCTTCCACATATCCTTTCACCCCTTTCATCCCATACTCCCTAGCCCATTAACGTGCCTGCCTCCCGCCCACGGCCCAAGCACCTTATAACCCCATCAACCAGCACCCCTTCCAACAACCAACATACCTACCTACCTTGGTATGGTAGGACGAAACGAAGGTCGCGTAGAGAAATGGTAACTCGCCAGACTTCTAATCTGTAGATTGTGGGTTCGAGTCCCACCGCGATCGCAGCTTTCCTTTTTTTGTTCATCCTTTTGCGTTTTACCTTTACCGTTGTTTGTCTGTGTGGTGCTTTTGTAACCAGTGAAGTCCTCTTTACATAAGTTTGTCCTGGGCGAGTGCGTGTGCGTATATGCGTGGGATTGATGGTTTGTTTTGGTTTGGTTGGTTGGTGATGTTTTTTGTGGTGTTTTGATGGTGTTGTGCCGCCATGTCGTGGACTGTTATGGTGGCCGTGAAGTACTAGATGATGACCATGACATTTCACAAGATAACCTAAAAGTAAGGATTGGTATCTTGCTGGACGTATTTTTTCTTTTGACATTGTCGCGAAATTGCAAATAAATGGGGGTGGGTTATCTACCTATCTTCGTGTAGAGTCGTCGGGCTTTTTTTTGTCAACATAGTCAGTCGCCTATTATGGTGTACCCGTTGCACCTCAGAAACAAAAGAATGCTGATGAAAATGAAGGTACCATGTCATAACGGTTTGTTTATTAGCTTAGTGCTCCTAGTATTCTGGACGAGATTTATCCCGACGTACTACAAACCTGATGACGACAAGATATAATGGCTGGGCACGGAACGGACAAAGAAACCAGTATTGGACTGTACAAGATGGTAGCGAAGCCCGTCATATCATTGTGAACGTGAGCGGGTTGGAATGACGAGAAATATGCTCCATAGACGACACTTGGAATTATATACATCGAAATGCTCTATCGTCCACCATCCAAATTTTGGTATGTATCCCAATCAAGCGCTTGTACAGTTATGTGCAACTCTCATCAGTATGTATCAAGAATACCCAAAACACTCAAAACATCCACGCTATTTTACAACTCCTTCTTCTCGTCCGCCACCTCCGCCTTCGCCGCCTTCACACTCTCACTCCCCGGCGGCGTCTTCAATGTATACAACACCAACAACGTCACCCAACTCATCCCCAACGCACCAATCCCATATGCAACCTCTCTCCCCGCCCACCAATAAACACTCGTAAACAACACCGGGCCCAATCCCCTCCCCAGCTGTCCCCAACTCCTCAGCATGCCCAACTTCCCACCCCTTTCGCCCTCATGCGACTCAAAGCTGCTCAAGGCATTCAACCCCGTGACGACCGTCGCTGATGTCGTTGCCAATAACGTAGCAGCGCCGTAGAGCCCAGAAACGGAGGTGATACGGCCAAGCATGATGAACGCTAGCAAGCATGCTACCACGCCGATGCGAACGGAGAGCAAGGGAGGTAGGCGACGGGTGACGCCGCCTTGGAGAAGAGAGGCGATCAGGCCGACGAAACCGAGCAGACGGCCGTTCTTGGAGGAGTCGTAGGCGAAGAGGTCGTAGGTCATGAAGGGGAGGGAGAATTCCATGCCGGAGAAGAAGAGGAGAAAGGAGAGGTGGGTGAGGTTGAGGAGGAAGTGGGAGTTTGTGCGGTGGACGGCCGCGGGGGTGGTTGCAGTTGCTGGTTTCTTCTCGGCCTCGGTCTCGGTATCGTTGACTTGAGCGCCGGTAGGTTGAGTCTTGTGCGTCAGAGCAGGGAGTGTCTCAGGCAGACAGAAGTAGAGGTATATCGTCTCGACGACGATCAAAGTCAGAGACACGCCGGCGGCTGTCGCGAAGGGGTTGGCGGCCACGGTACTGAAAGTGCTCAGCCATGCGCCCAGGGCAGGACCGAAGGTGAAGGCGATAGAGAAGCAGGCTCCGATGAGGGCCATGGTCGAGCCGCGCTTTGAAGGGTCCGAGATGTCGGTTGCGATGGCCGTGGCCAGCTGAACGTTGCCCTCGGAGAGACCGCCGACGATGCGCGAGGCGAGGAAGGTGCGGAAGTCGGTGGCCATGACCCAGAGGAGCACCGAGAGGATGTTGCCTGTCATGCTGAGAAGAAGGGCGGTGCGGCGGCCATAGCGATCGGAGAAGTGGCCGATTATGGGGGAGGCGATGGCTTGGAGGAGGCTGGAGAAGGTTACCACTGTTAGCGGAAGGTTTGCAGATATGGAATGTTGCTAGAGACTGGTACATACGAAAAGAGACTCCCCAAGGCACCGCCGAGCAGAACAATGTCATATCGCGAGTCAATTGGTCGCGCAAAGGAAGCTTTGTAAGTGTTAAGGTAGCCCAAGACACTGGAGAGAAGGGTCTTGGATGGTGGTGCCGAAGGATCGAGGGGAGCTTCTACGTTGCGGTAGAATTCGAGTAGCTTTGGGAATAATGGGAGAATAAAAGTAAATGAGATCTGTTGTTTTCGGTGCAATTAGTCCTCTTGGTTCTTGAGCTTCCATTCGCGATCTTTTGGAGAGTACATACCAAATCAAGCAACAAAGAAAAGAAAATGACTTTGAGAACCCTCTTGCGGGTGGCGGGTTCGACGGGCGTCGTCATCCCTGCTGCTGAAGCTAAGCTACCCAAGAAGACGAACGGGAAGTTCCTTTCTTGTTTTGCTGAGCAGGTTGTTGAAGAAGCAGTAAGACCTCGAGAGATTCAGACTTTGTTCAGATTTCGGGACCGGAGATTTGGACGTGCTCGAAGTTGAGAAAGTCAGGAGATGGAAATCGGATGGAGCTGCTGGTGGAAGGACGGGAAGGTTGAAGCGACGTCACGCTGCTTGAAACGCCCAGAAGACTCCTGGGGATCCTTGGGGGTCCACTATAGGCACTGGAACTCTGAGTGGAAGGAGAAGAGGACGAGTTTCCGTTGTTTACGTTTCACAAGTTGTATTGTACTGAAATGTGTCAAGCATTGGAGCGAAAAGAAGCTGTATTGGATATGGAAGAGAAGGAAGCGACTGTGATCCGAACAGAGTTCCAAAACCAAACCACAACTGAAAGCTGTCCCAAACCAAACATTCGAGAGCTCAATCGGGTCGAATGACAAGTTCGTTCTGGAACATGGACCTCAAATAGGTACCTTGATGCTGGGGGCACTGCGGCATCAGAAATGGGTTCCCGGCAGGCAGCGCTTACAGCGAGGATAAAGCCACAACTAGCTGCAGCCACGATGTGGCACAAGCAACATCAACAACATCAAGCAAGTCTTCCCCGCAACAACCTGCATCTCCATCAACTCACTGCAGCTGTCTCTCCTGCAAAACATTACCACCACCACAACCTGAGTCAACCCAATCACCACCACATCTCTGCTGTCTTCCATTCTCTTCCCAAAACGGAACTTGTGGCCAGCGCCATGTTTCAAGGTCGAACCACGGTGTATCCCCAATCAACATGTCCAAGACAGAACTGTGGCCCTCCATCATCTATATCTAACCATTATTACCATACAAACCCATCTATTGTCTCTTCTTTTTCCAAGGTCTTCCCTTCCTTACTCGTCCCCGTTTGGTGAGGAGGCAATCACACAAAGGCAGGCATCTCCTTGGTGTGTGTTTGTGTAAACGTTGTTGTTTACTCTTCTCTTCAATATCCAACTCAGAAACCTCTCATTTCCACTCGTTGGTGCGACAGACAAGACTTGGAGGCCGAGCAACCTGAAGTGAAGAAGTCCAGGGTCATATTCTCTATTGACTCTCGGGTAATACCCAGATCTCCGGCAATGCTGCCACCGCCGTCATTCTTGGTTACTTGTGGATATGAGCAAGGCGAGCAAGGCGAGCAAGGCTGGCTAGCTGCCGGCCACTACTTCGTCTCATCTCATGTTCTCAACATGGCATCACAGTTGGAGTCGCAATGATCGACGCATGTCCCCGAGCCGACTGACTGGGGCAACCACAAGCGTGCGAGCCCTTGCATCATCCCATCCTGTCTTTTGCCTAAGTACCGGACACGATCTGCCGCATATACGATGTTTCCGCTTAAGTACATCACAACTCAACTCGTGCTGCCTCGAGTTGGGCCAAGAGAGAGAGAGCTGTGCCTGGTCTAGACGAAGAAAAGGGCCATCTGAGATTAACCACACTTTGAGAACTTCAAGATCCCGTCTGTCATCGATCGTCTCCGCCTCACCTTTGCTTCCCCGGCATAAAGTAATGTGCACACATAACGGACATGGCTTGCCTTAAGTACGTGCGGGAACGTGCTGACTGCCGGCACATGGCTGAACACCAAAGAAGATGCAGGGGAAGGAACACTGCAGCTGATGGCTGGGTCTGTTGACTGGACCGTTGAGTCTATACTTCCAAAGGGGCCTAGCTGGGCGTTCGTATCTGATTTTGAACATGGCCACGACAGGATTCTTCCCCGTTTGGAATTGTCACCGAAAACATCACTGACCTTGCGCGGAGAACAGGAATCAATCTCCAGTTGAATTCGGGTGGATCAGGGGAACGCCTCATGGATATTCCAGGCTGCGCCCGTTCGCCGAGTTCTGATGCTGAGCCATGCGTAACCCGAGACCTGTTTTTTCCAGCTATCTTCAGACGCACCACCTTTAGTCCGACAATGTCTCTCTCTTGAATACGCCGCAGACCGTTCTATATGATTTCAAGACACTCGGTCTATACTGTCGCCCGTTTAGCCGCCCAGACCGACCCGTTCACCTGCTGTCAGTGTACGCAGTAACGCGGCGCCTCTTTGTGTCCCGTCAGCTGTCGTCCGTGTCGGGGTTCCACCAGTTGTGACTTTCAGTCCGCTTGGTCTCTCGCTGCCGTTGGGTGCCGTTGGGTCCAACCACAGCTTTGGACTCTCCAAGCGACTGGCAAAAAAAGTATCCAGCCGAACGTTCTTTGTGCTGCCTTGCCATGTTTCTCTGACATCGCACAAGAAGGAGGCGGGTACGGGAAGCAGATACAACGGTAACTTAAAAAGGGCCGTTCCTTCCCATATCTGGGACTCGGACCATCACTCAGTATCACCAACTTCCATCATCCACTCGTTCAAGTCACTCACTCCTCTCTTCCTACCAAGACCGTTCCTCAAGGCAATCTCTACCATCCGTAGCCGGAACAAGGAGGATGAAGACTGCCACCTTTGCTCTGGCCTGTGCGGCCTCGGTGTCAGCTCACTACGGTGACGTCTCTTCCATCTTTGAATCATGGGGTGCCGGCACCGTCAGCTATCCTCCGGCCCCGGCCCCTACCACCACCGCTGCTGGTGGTCCCGATAAAGGCGGCGACGGACAGTGGACGACAAGTACCGTCTACACCACGGCAGTCCATACCATCACCAGCTGCCCACCTGCTGTTACCTCATGCCCGGACCATAGTACTGTGGTCACCACAGTCACCATTCCGGTCAGCACCACCGTCTGCCCTATAAGCTCCGGAGGTCCTGCGCCGCCACCGCCGCCTCCACCTCCTCCGACACCTCCAGCTTCTACCGGCTCTCCTCCACCACCACCTCCTCCGCCACCACCGGCTCCTCCTGCATCGTCTGGTAGTCCCCCAGCACCTCCTCCGCCACCGCCCGCACCCCCGGCCTCATCA